TGCCTGGGCACAGCTCAGCCCTTGGCCCCACCACCAGTGCTCCCTCACATTTCAAAGCAGCAGGAGACCTGCTGCTTGGGTCCAACAAGCACCTCTTGCCCAGCCCAGCGGCGTCCTGCAGCACCAGGGGCAGAGGGAGGTTAGTCCTGGGCATTACAGGGCTTTTGAGTGAGCAATGGGAAGGGTCACCCAAGGCCCCAGAGATCTGGCTGGAGCCAGGAGATGGAGTCAGAAGTCTTCCCCTGCGTACCTCCCCATAAAACCCCTCCCCACCTCTTCCAGCACAAGGACCCCCAAACCCAAGGAGAGGGGATTCCTGCCAAGTGGCCCCACAACGTCCATCTGCATTTTTCTGGATGCCTCTAGCTCCTTTCCATGGCCTGCCTGGCCTCTGACATCGCCTTGCTCTGAGCAGAAGCAGGGCCTGGAGACATGCGTGTGGGGAAGGGTCTCCGCAGGACGAAGCCCCGCTGCCCTGGCACATACCTTTTGTTTGCTTCATGGCTGCAGGGAATGCGAGAGGGAGCAAGGTACAGGGTGAAGGGGCAGGGAAGTACGTGGCCCCCCCTCTTCCAAGACGCCCCAGGTTTAATGGTTAAACAGCCTCGATGTCTCCCCTGCCCTCCCAGCCCCGGGGCACTGCCAGCCCTCACCCAGCAGAGCTGGCAGCAGGGACCAGCACTCTGGGACACCCAGTTGGGGAGCAGATGCTGGTGTCTCAGCTTACAGCTAGCCGCAAGTGCAGCCCGCAGTGGGGAAGATCAGCTGGTTCAGCATGGGCGGGAGCAGAAGACGGCTGCCCCATCCCAGCCCTGTGAGATGGGGAACGGCCAGAGCCCTCCACTCCAACAGCTGGAGGGATGGCTGCACCAGCACCTCCGCATTCCTACCCCAGGAAGGGCCCGGAGAGGAGACAGTCTTGGCACTAGTGTGCTTCAGTGGAAACAGAGCGGTGCACTTTAATGCTACCAAAGGTTTCACAAGCAAGCCTGATGGGTCCCATTTGCTCCTGGCTTGGTCTCTGTACAGTTCTCCCACACTTCACTTGCCCGCAGATGAGGGCTGAGCCCCACATACGCAGCACCTTTGACAGCCTTGGTAGCACCCAACCAGTAGGCATCTCCATGCAGACAAGGGTGCAGGGGATGTGCTGCTGGGCACACTCCACTGTTCCCTCCCCAGCAGCACTGCTCCCTTCCTGGCTGGGTGGATGGACA